CGAGGCTGGATCTGTCCCTCTCGACACCCTCTTTTGCTGCTCTCTGGCCCCCTGCTTCCCAGCAAAGGTGCTGCTATTTTAGCCGCCTTGAAGGAAGAGGTCAGGGTGGTAAAAGCCTACAGAACTGGTTCCAGTTTAACAACTTCATAGCTGCTGTGCGGCCACAAAGGCAGCCTTGTCCCTCCCGGGGTGAGATAAGCCTGTTGGGGCGATTCATATGCAGATCCGGGTGGTACCGGGTGTCTGCTGGGAGAGGGATAAATCTGTCCCCAAGCCTCGTCCCCCTCTCCTGGTTCCAAACTGTTTTACATTTACACAAAAAAGGTTCTGTCCCCGCATTGAGCCCGGTCCTGGGCAGGCTGTCACCCGGCTTTTGATGGGGGAGGTCCCCTGGAACCCACCGGGTGCCCCCTGCCCAGACGGGGCTGGGGCGGGCGAGTGGAGCTGTCACTAAGCCGGGTTGTCCTGGCTGGTTTTGTCCCCATCGCCCAGCTCGTTGTCCTTGAAAGAGTCACTTTCTCCGGCCCTGCAGAAAGCTCTCAACCATATCCCCTCCAGCAGAAATCCCTTTGCCTTTTGTCATTTTTTAAAAAATAATAACGGAAAGGGGCTTCCCCCCACCCCTTTTCCACTTTTTGGCACTAACACAGAACCTGTAAGCCCTGATCCGGGTGGCATCCATCACCCACCTTGTGCTTTATCCAGGGTTTCAGGGCCTCTCAGCACCGGCTGGAGCTGCAGCTCTGCATTTAGCATTTTTAGGGGGATGAGCTGAGGACGGAACCTGTCCCGCAGGCTGTTCGGAGACTTATTTATCAGCGGGGCTGTCAATCAAGCATCCACTGCTTGATGCTCTCAGCTCGGTGCTGGCTCCTTCGTCTGCAGCAAAATCACCGCAGAGTTGAGGCATCATGAACCAGTCAATCCTGGGAAGTGATGCCAGCCCAGTCTTTTGAAGTCTGCTTTGGTTACCTGCCTGCTCTGGCAGCTAAACTGTATTTAATACAACTTTCTGTTTTTATCAGGGCAGTAATTTATGGGGATGGGTGGGTGGAAAGGAAAACTTGGTGAAACAATGAGTGAAAATGGCTCCTGGGAGGCTTTGAATGATGGCATTTCCCATCCCTCTCCATGATTTTGTGATCTGCTTTAAGCGTTAACAGCTTCACCTGTTGAATATTTCTACATAGGAAAACCCACTTCCGACGCCTCTCTAATGGCACTTGTTTTACTATCTAATTTATCAGCTGAGTAGGAAGGTAAAAAGAGTTTTATTTCTCCTCCTGGGCACACAGTCTCCTCTTGAAATACAAATTCCCTCTAAGGCTGCCAAGGTCCTCCCCCACCTCAGCATCAGGTACCTGCGGGCAATGCTTAGTATTCCCAAGACGTTTTCTTAAGGTCAATAAGAATTAACTGTAAATTCAATTAAAGTTTCCAAAGCTTGCACTAAAGGGGAGCATAACAGAAGCCTGGCCTGTTTAAGCCAGATCTGGAGGGAGACAGGGGCTATCAATAATTAACTGGGGTAATTTAGGGGGGAAGTATTAGGGAGTTAATGAAAATGTGAAAAAGCCTAATTAACTTGCAAGTAGCTGGGAGTGATTGAGCTGCTGAGGAAGAGGAGGTGCTGCACAATTAAATTCTTGGAGGCTGCCATTCCCAACGCAGTTCTAGGGTGATGTTGGGTCCCAGATCTGCTGGCACCCCGATACCAGGGGATGGTGGCTCCGCATGAATGGGGTCCCAGGGGGGTCCTGTTGGGTCCCTCTGCCCCACAGACCCCTTAGGGACAGCCTTGGCACCGCGGGGCTCAGCCTGGCCCTTGAGGTCCCTCTGCAAAAAAGAAGAGGGTGGGCAAAAAGGCTTTTGGTAAAATATTTCAGCAAAACCTTTGCTGGGGCATCCCGACTCAGGTTCCTCGTCGCGGTCGCCCTCGAAGAGCAACCCTGTTGCAGGGGCAGCTCATGGGTTTTTACAGACGTTGAACACAACCACGAGTTCCTGAGCTCGGGTACAGTCAGTACTGGTTTGAGCTGAGAAAAGGGCAGTTTTGGTTTCACGGGAGGCTCTCCAGGCTCTTGGGATCACATCATGCCAAGGGTTCGCTGTTTGATAATAAACATTTTATTGCTCATCGAGGGGAGGGATCCCGCCTGCCTGGGTGCTGCTGGTGCCAAATGGAGGGGCCAGGCTGCTGGGTTGGAAGATGGGGGATGAGGAGTGGCTCTGAAAATGCTTGGACTGTGTGAAACAAACAACAAACAAAAAAAAAAAGGAGAAAAAAGAAGCTCCACGAGTGACTTTTGCCTCTTGTTTGTGGGAGGGAGTTGTACAGAGCCCAGCACCGCTTGCAAATGCTTTTAATAAAGTGTTCTTTCCTGCGTCCAGGGGAAAAACCCCAGAAACCTCAATCCTTTTCCCATTACATAAGGAGCAGATGGTGCTGGGCAGAGCCCAGCTTCCCCACGGCACGGCACCCCCACCGTGGGGACCCCTCACTCCCACTCCAAGCAGTGGGATCAGGATCCCCAAAACACCCCATCCCACCCCAAAGTGCCGCTGCCAAAGAGAGAGTCTGTCTGGTCCCACCTCTCTCTTTTCAGCTGACACCTCTCGCTTCGTCTTGATTTCTTTTTTTTTTCTGTTGTATTTTATCCCTCATCACAGTTAATATTGGGGTATAGGTACTTTTTCCAAGAGACTTCCTGATCCCTGGAGTTTGTCCTGGAGCAGCTCGGGTTGGATTCCCATGTGCTTGCTTCACCCATACAAGCAATTGTAGTGTAGGATTAATGGTTGGACTCGATGATCCCAAGGGTCTTTTCCAACCTGAATTGTTCTGTGATTCTATGATTCTATGATTTTGCATTGGCATGGTGGATATTTGTTGACTGGATGAGTGTAGGCATCTACACCACTGCCTCTACATGAGCCGTGTCATGCCTGGATGCCTCAGTTTCCCATTTTAAACCAATGCTCTGGCATCTGCTGAGGGACCCGTTCTGCAGCCCCTGGCTCTCCTCGCAGGGTGACATGCCTGGGTAATTTCGCTGGCAATTAATGCCTCATTAAAGTGCACAAGGGAACAATCAAGGCAGTGAATTTTACACAGCACAATGGCCGGGCCCTGAGAGGTTTTCTGCCTTTTTTCTTTTAAAAGGAAACAGTCTTTTTCTAGCCTTAACTGCTTGCTGTCCGGAGGCAAAGGAGGTGGGAGGTTTGGTGGGCATCTCCATCCCCAGCTTGGGCTTAGACCCCATGGGTGCGAATCCCCGTGATGAGATTCTCTACTTCCCTCTTCGCAATCCCGCGTGGAAAATGGGCACCTCTGGGACATGCAATTGGTCAGAAGCCAGGCTGAAAACCAACCCCATCTCAAAACGCGCCTGTTGAGATGCCGCCGCTGAGCTCACTGGGATGGAGGAGGAGGAGGAGGGTTGTGGCCGGGGAGCACCTGGACGTTCCGTGTTGCGTTTGGGGATTTGCTCGTGCTCGTCGATGATGCTGTCGCAGCATCAGGTTGGAGCCACCGTGCCTCGAGCCCTGACCATGTCCCTTTCTCTCTCTCCAGGAGCCTGATGCCGCGGACGCTGGAGGGGCAGATCACGATGGAGAAGACCCCCAGCTACTTCGTCACCAAGGAGGCTCCCCGGCGCATCTACAACATGTCCCGGGACACGAAGCTGATCGTGGTGGTGCGCAACCCTGTCACCCGTGCCATCTCGGACTACACACAGACACTCTCCAAAAACCCCACCATCCCCAGCTTCCAGGCCCTGGCCTTCAAAAACCTCAGCACGGGACTCATCGACACGAGCTGGAGCGCGGTGAGGATCGGGATCTACGCCAAGCACCTGGACAACTGGCTGCAGTACTTCCCCCTCTCCAAATTCCTCTTTGTCAGTGGGGAGAGGCTCGTCAGCGACCCGGCCGGGGAGATGGGCCGTGTCCAGGACTTTCTGGGTCTCAAGAGGGTGGTGACGGACAAACATTTCTATTTCAATGAGACCAAGGGTTTTCCCTGCCTGAAGAAGCCGGAGGGTGGCAGCAAGCCACGCTGCCTGGGGAAATCCAAGGGGCGGCCGCACCCCAAAATCGACGTGCAGGTGGTCCAGCGCCTGCGGGAGTTTTACAGACCCTTCAACATGAAGTTTTATCAGATGACAGGGCAGGATTTTGGGTGGGACTGAGGCATCCACCGAGCACGCCGCTGGGCTGGGACCTGGGTTGCCCAG